TTTTTTCTTGGTGGTCAGCACCACAACTCAAAGGCATCAGTTCTTCTGTCAAACTTAGTCATTATTCAGCTATCTGATGCATAACAAGTAATTGGGAAGACCATGGACTGGATCAGGTGCATCTTTTATCCTGAGTATGCCATATTTTTAATGTTTTTTAAATATTTTTGATCTTTACAGGTATTGACTAGAATTCTTAAATTATTTCCAGTTATTATTTCCTGTTATTGCAATTTTTTAGATTTTTATTTTTTGTGCTTGTTATATTTATTAGAGAATATTTGCTGTCATACATTGAATATTGTGTATTTTTAAATATTTTTATTTTAAAAAAGCAATCAGTAAACTGTTCTTCATTGTCCTGCTAGTCTTTTATTTACTTATTATTTTTATTTTATATTAGTTTACATACAAAGTTCATAAAGTTCATATACATTGTTTTTACACTGGATCTTTCCCCTTTTGTTTATGCATCACTCCCTCCACCCATCAAGTTGTGTGACCCTATGATTAAGCTCACCCCCTCCTTGAATCCTCTAACTTATTCTACAGTAATGGTCTTATACAGTATTTGTCCTTATGAGACTGAATTAGTTCACTAAGTTTAATGCACTCCTGTCCCTCCCTTGTTAGGTAGTCATTTACGAAATCATTATTCCTACATGCTGCATACTATTCCATTGTGTGAATGTACCATAATTTCTCAATCCATTCCATTGTGGTTGGGCATTTGGGCTGTTTCCATGTTTTTGCAATGGTGTATAACACTGCTATGAACATTGGTGTACAAGTCTCTGTTTGTGCCTCAATTGTCATTTTCTCAGGGTATATTCCAAGCAGTAGAATAGCTGGGTCATATGGAATTTCTGTGTTCAGCTTTTTGAGGAAACACCAAACTGCCATAGTGCTTGTACCATTTTACAATCCCACCAACAATGTATAAAAGTTCCTATCTTGCCACATCCTCTCCAACATTTTTTACTTGCTGCCCTGCTAAACTGTGCCACAGCTACTGGGATAAGATGTTATCTTATTGTGGTTTTGATTTTTCATTTCTCTAATTGCTAGTGATTTAGAGCATTTCTTGATGTGTCTGTTGGCCATCCAAATGTTGGATTTTTACTCCTTATGTTCTGGAGGCCCTAATCTTTACATTTATTATTGTTTGGTACAATGCTGAAATAAACACATTTATTCAATCAGTATCTACAATGTACATCATAATACTTGCTCATAAACAGATGTAAATCTTAGCCTACAGAGCTTTAAGTACTTTGTTGTAAAGTAGAAATAGGTTTAGTTTTATAAGGACATGCCAGAACTTTTTCCAAAATGGTTATACCATTTTGTACTTTTACCAACAATGTATGCATGTTTCAGAACTTGTATCAATGCTAGTCCCCCCTTGCCAGTTTAAATGTTGTAATATTTTTCCATTTTAATAATTTTTATTGGTTTGTGGAATGATATATCATTATGAACTGAGAAGTCTTATTTTTTATTAAGTGTTCTTTTTTATTGCTCAGTAGTATTCTACTGCATAAACGCATCATAGTTTATCTTTTCAATTGTTGTTAGATATAGTGCTTACTGTTGTTGCTGTTGTTGTTGTTGTTAAGTGCCGTTGAGTTGCTTGCGACTCATAGAGACCCTGTGTACAACAGCCCTAAACTCTGCTCTGTCCTGTGCCAATCGCACTGTCTCTAACACTGCCATCCCAATTATCCCAGTCACTGAATCAATCCACCTCATAGAGGGCCTTCCCCTCCTTTGCTGTCCCTCCACCCTACCAAGCATGATGTCCTTCTCCAAGGACCAGTCTCTCCTTACAACATGTCCAAAGTATATTAGACGGAGCCTCAGAATCCTTGCTTCCAAGGAGCCTCCGGTTTAACCCTTTCCAGGACAAATCTGTTTGTTTTCCTAGCAGTCCATGGTACCCTCAATACTCTTCTCCAGCACCATACCTCAAAGGCATCAATTCTCCCTCTATCCTCCTTAGTCATTGTCCAACTCTCTGATGCATAACAAGTGATTGCAAAGACCATGGCCTGTATCAGACACACCATAGTCTCCAGAGAGACACCATTGCTCTTCAGTATTTTGGAGAGGTCCCTAACAGCAGACTTTCCTATGGCAATATGCCTTTTATTTTCCTGGCTGCTGTTGCCAAGAGTGTTGACTGTGGAGCCAAGCAAACTAAAGCTGTGAACAATCTCAATATCTTCACCATCCATCCTGATGCTGCTAATTGGCCCAGTGGTGAGAATCTTTGTCTTCTTGACATTGAGGCTCAATCCATATTGGAGGCTGCAGTCATTGACCCTCTGTAGCAAGTGCTTCAGGTCCTCCTCAGTTTCAGCAAGCAGGGTTGTGTCATATGCATAACGCAGATTGTTGATAGATCTTCCACCAATCTTGACCACACATTTCTCCTCATAGAGCCCAGCCTCCTGGATAATCTGTTCTGCATACAGGTTAAAAAGGTATGGAGATAGGAACTTATTTATAAGCAAACTTATTTATAAATAATAAATAAAGTTGATATTAATATTTATGTATAGCTCTTTGTATGACTATATATTTTTATTTCTTTGGTGTAAATACACAAGAATGCAATTTCTCCATTGTATGGTTTGTATGTTTGACTTTACCAAATGTTTACCATTTTTATTCCCAGCAGCAACTCTCTACAGACTATACCATTGGTTATTCCCTAAGTTTTTGTATCTCTGGTACTTGAATATGAGCACCTTTTTCTCTATGTGCAAACATTACTTTTATTTTCTCTCAAAGCCTCTGTGCAGCTGTCGCCCTCAGCCTTCATTGTTCTTCTAGTTTGTGTTGCTCCTTTTGAGAAATCCCCTCTTCCTCTGACTCCCACAGCTTTTTGAATGCTGTAAGTTTTTTTTCTACTAAAACCATTGCAATATCTTTATTTCTGGTATTCCTGAAAGCAGTGGAAATCTACGTCTATTTTTCAATTCTAGAAAAATGTCTTGAATTATTTCCTTATGTAGACAGTCTATTTTAATAAAATATTGGCATTTTTGGACCAAGTTTCTAAATTTTTTGTTCTTTTGAAGATAATTTTTTTTTTTAAATTTTCGCTTTCCCCTGTCAACTAGCCTACTTATTTTTCTAGAGTTTTTTCCTATTACTGTCTCTTTCTCAATGATATTCTGTCTTCTTTTTATGGAAGCAAAGCTGTTGTTGTTAAGGGTAGTCGAGTTGATTATGACTGAAAGTGATCCTGTGAACATTGAATCTGAACCCTGCCTTGTCGTGTGCCATCATCATCATATTTGGCGTGCTTGAGCCTACCATTACAATCTGAGGATATAATATATTGTTGTTGTGTGTCGTTGAGTTGGAACTGACCTATAGCTGCCCCTCCAGTGGGTTTTCAGTGGCAGTAATTATCACAAGAAGAGGTTGCCCATCCTTCTCTTATGGAACAGCTGGTAAATTTGAACTGCATGCCTTTGGGATTGCAGTGCAGCTTCTTACTGCTAAAGCACAAGAGCTCCTGAGGACATAGAGAGAGTTAACTTTTGTTTTCCTTCATAATATTATCTTTGTTTTCTATCCACAGTCTCCCCCCCATTTATTGTTCTTGGGGTGAGGTTTTTCTTGTTAGATATTTACGATCTTTGTAAAGCAAAACTGATTGAAAGTTTGAATGTATGAGAGAGCTTGCCAACTAATGAATTTTGCTCTAGTGTAAATGGGCAGGGATTTACCCTCTTGGAATGCCCAAGTGATGTACTCTTTTCCTCCTGTACTTGGGGGTTTCCCCTCGCCCCCAGAAAAGACCTCTTTCAGATCATCTGAAGAATGGAGAGGGTATGTGTAGATGTTGTAAATGCTTTGCTACTAGTACCGAAGGAGGGGAAGAGAGCTCAATCTTCATTGTTTCAGTATATAGACTTTCATCTAATCTTTCTTTTCAGGCCTAGCCCTCTGTAAGGGCCTTAATGCCCAATTCCAGATATCTTCTGGAGCTCTACTTGAGTGGCATAGATTACCAAACCAATTTTTATGCACACTTTCAATAAATCTACCTTTAAATAGCATATCTCTCTCTTTCATTCTGCCAGGTCATTGTAATTACTCTAGTTACTTATTTTGGCTGTTACATTCTCGGCTGTCTCAAATATTTGCTGAAATATCTTATTAGCTTTTGTCTTAATACTTATTCTTCTATACATGCAAATGAATTGATTTTTTTTTCATTCCTTTACTGCTATTTTAATGAGGGTTTGGAAAAGGAAAGCAGGTGAATGTATGTGATCAATCTGCATCCTTAATAATCCTTACATGTAAAGAGCCCTTGGAACATAGTGGGTTGTGTTGGGTTGCTAATAAAAAGTCAGTAGTTTGAACTCCACAGCCATTCCATAAGAGAAAGATAGAGAAATTTACCTATAGAAGATTTATAGCCTTGGAAATCCAAGGACAGTTCTACTTTATTCCTTAAGGTCACTATGAGTTAAAATTAATTCAGTATTAAAGAGTTTTGGGGATTTATATGTTATTTCTGAAACTATAGACCAAAATTTATATCAAACTGAAAACTCAAACTTGTTGCTGTTGAGTTGGAATTAAGTTGACGATGACCCTCTGGTAGATTTCCACAGACTGTAAATTGAATAGGCGATTGCCCCCATTTCCCCTGTGGAGCTATTAGACAAACCACCAGACAGGCACCACTTTTGGGTTAATAACACAATTCTCTACAAACTGTGCTTCCATTGCTTCCTAAAATGTCTATGAATGTCACTTATCTTTCTCCCCCCCTCTGTTTCTCGAAAACATAACTTATTAATTATAAATTCATACCATACAAAAATAGTAATTACATACTTACTCATTAACATTAATAACCTATTTAGTATCTTTTTCAGTTTATTAATTAGTTCGAATACCGACTAAATAGATACTTGCTACTGAAGCTATTTTGAAGAAGCTTCATTTGATTCTACTCTTTGTAGCCACTCATGGATTCTTCTGGACAACCCAGACCAGAAGATAACCAGTCAGTAGTCAGCAGAATGCAAAAGAAATACTGGAAAACTAAACAAGCCTTTATCAAAGCAACAGGAAAAAAAGAGGATGAGCATGTGGTGGCATCTGATGCTGAACTGGATGCAAAACTTGAGGTAAAGATGAAGATTTTATTTTTTTTATTTTTTTCTCCCCATTATTGCAATATGAAAATTTTAATATAAAACAAGAAGCCAAAAAAATTATTGCAATTCTGACTTGTAGTACCACTTTATACATTGCTTATAATTGATTACTATTTGGGACTGTTGTTGTTATTGTATACATAGAGTCTGAACCCATAGCTGACCCTCCAGTGGGTTTTCAGAGGCAGTTAATTGCACAGGAGGAGACTGTCCATTCTTCTCCCATGGAGCAGCTGGTGGCCTCAAACCATGTGCCTTTGGGATTGCAGTGCAACTTCTTGCCACTAGACCACCAGACTACAAGGGAAATTATATAGCAGACTTTCACAATAATGAAATTATAGAGAAAAATATAAAATTATTAATAGAATATTTAGTTCTATCAATTTTAGTCAGATATTCTGGGTAGAAAGACATTCCCTTAAATTAAGAATTGATAGAATGATATTCACTGAATTCAGTAAGCCACAAGCAAAGTAATTTCTATAGTATTTGAATTCTAATTTTAAGCTATGTTAACACATTTATTATATTCCAACTGGAAACCATATATTTGTTACATATAATTTTTGTGTGCCTTGATGCACCAATAAATTGAAGTAAATAGTGAGGATTTTATAAATTAGAACTTTTATTTCTATTACTGAGGGAGAGAGTTATTGAAATATTTTATAATGCCTTTATTGGCTGTGTTCTAAAATATCTGATAGTGACCATGAAATAATTTTTTTATATTGCTAAGTAATTAAACTAGGTAGAACTGTCATGTACTTTGAAGAATTAAAATGAAAAAGCCTGAATCTTCATGGTGTTTTACTTTTTTAAATGTATGTACACTAACTTAAGGTAATTTTTGCAAATATCTCTACATAAGAGTTCTTTTATGCTTGGAATGTAATCATTATGTTGGGCTTCTTAAAAAAAGTGTAATTAAAAGGTCTTAATCTCTATTTTTCAAAACCTCAACCCCAGCCATTTCCATAACAAATATGGAAACAGATGGCAAATTAGGAAAATTTTATTATTTTATTGTGGTTTGGGTGAAGATTTGGAACAAATCCATTTTCCATTCAACAGATCATACAGATTTTGTTTCATGCCATTGATCAAAATTTTAGTGTTTCTGAATGATTACTCTTGTAATTCCTCTTCATGGTGGAAATTCAAATGGGCCTTCCAAATTAGAAGTAAAATGAAACTGAAGTATTCATAGCCAAACAAAATAGACATTTCTTTTGTTTTATTATTTTTGTGTGTGTGTACCGTCAAATCAGATCTGACTGGTACAGGAGGAGATTGCCCCTCCTTCCCCGGCAGAGCATCTGGTGGATTCGAACTATGCACCTCTGGGATTGTAGTTGCAGCTTCTTGCCACTAGGCCACCAGAGCTCCCCCAAAATAGACATTTCTTAAAGAGACATAATACTTTTCAGAAAATGTCTACCTTTTAAATGTTTAAACAGATATTTTACATTTCACTATGGTTTTTAAAATTGTTCTAATAAAATTTATATTTCAAGGTTTTTCACTCCATTCAAGACACATGCACTGAACTTCTGAAGATAATTGAAAAATATCAACTAAGACTCAATGGTATGGAATTATAGATATCAATCAGATAATTCCCATTTAAAATATTACTTTGCATTTTTAAGTTAAATGTAAAAATGTAGTTTATGGAACTATTTTGTGATGCTTCTTACAGAAAAATATAAAGAGTGACCCATTATCAAAGCCACTTAAAAGGCAAACTTAATGCTATTGCATTAGTTCCCAATAGGACAGGATGCTCCTTAGCAGAGAGAATGGCAAGATGTCAGGAGGGGCTGGAGAAAGATACCATGTTTGATAAAGTAGACGATTAGCCAAAAAGAAGAACACCTTCAAACAGATGCCTTGGTTGCTGTTGGTAGCAATAGTGAGCTCAAGCACCTAGGCAACAAGGAATACATAAGATTGGACAATATTTTGTTCTTTTGTGTATAGGGACACTGTGAGTTGAAGATGACATAAGGTCACCTAACGGCATAGGATATATTAGAATAGTCTCTTAGCATTTTCAAGAATGTAATCTTTACAGAAATAAACTATCACATCTTTCTCCTGTGGAGCAGGTGGTCGGTTTAAACCACCAGCCTTTTTGGTCAGTAGTTGACTGCTTTAACCACTGTACCATTAGTGTTCATTTCAAAACTTGTTGTTGTTGTTATGTGCTGCCAAGTTGCCTGCAACTCCTAGTGACTCTACTAATGATGAATCTGAAACTTGCCTGTCCTGTGCCATCCTTACCGTCTTTGATATACTTGAACTCATTATTACAGCCACTGCGTTAGTCCATCTTGTTGAAGGTCTTCCTCTCTTAGACCGACCCTCTACCTTTCCAAGCATTTGTCTTTTTCCAAGGATTGGCCTCTTCTAACAACATGTCCAAAGTATATGAGATGGTCTTCAATTACACTATGAAAAATAGATGTAGCACAATAGATATAGATATATGTTAGATATAGCACTAAAGGTAGAGCTCCCACATTGGAAGACATTAAAAAATGAGGAGAAACATCGGCAAACATCCATTAATAATTGGAAGGTTAAAAATAAATAATTGCAAGGTGGAATATACAAAGTATGAATCTAGGAAAATTGGAAGTTGTCAAAGCTCTGAGTACCCTCTTATTCTTCAGATTAATCTTTCTGATGTTCATTTTCCCTGCGAATTTGATAATTTGCTTCCATTGTTTTTAAAAAGCCCTTCCCTTGATTCTTCCTCGTCCTTGAAGTTACAATCTCATTCCGCTATTACTATTTATAGAAAATTTTGAATAATTGGCCAAGTACATGGTTTCCAATTCTTCTCTTCCACTTTGTCTTGTATTCACTCCAGCAGGTTTTCATCTGCACCACTCCATGGAATTGCTTTTGGCAAGGTCATCAAGAACTAAACTCAATAGCCAAATTTCAACTATTATTTGACTTACATTATTTATAAAGTTGGTTATACCTCTTTCTTGATCCAGTTTCATTTCTCTGGTTTTTCCTCTTACTGGTCCTTATGTCTTAATAACTTAGATTAGGCTCTCAAGTATCCAGGCTATCTTCTAGACCTCTTAAGATTGAAACACTATCTTTTTTTAAAGAATTTTGATTTTTATTTTTTTTTTTGTGCAACTACCGTCAAATCAGATCTGACTGGTACAGGAGAAAATTGTCCCTCCTTATCCAGCAGAGCATCTGGTGGATTTGAACCATGCACCTCTGGATTGCAGTGCAGCTTCTTGCCACCAGGCCACCAGAGCTCCCCTGAAACACAATCTTTGCATCTATTCGCTTTTAATCACAGTGGTTACCCTGGCCGTACTGGAACTGGTCACCTCTCAGATGCCTGGTTGTAGCATCTGCTAAAGCTTTCTCCTCTTAAGTCACATGGGTCTCCTCCCAGCAAGCATGTTTTCACTTCTAGATAGCAAAACTCTGGGCTCTATAACTTCCTTTAGGTGTTTGTTAGTATGTACTGTTGAGTCACAACTAACTCGTAGGTGACTCTCCAGAAGATTTTCAGAGACAGTTAATCACCTGGGTGGAGATTGCCCATTTTCCTTCCATAGAGCAGCTGGTGGGTTTGAACTGAGTACCTTTTTAGGTATCTAGTAAAATAACATCCTTTTTTGTAAGGCCTTTTTTGATCCTGTGTCTAAAATACATACATACTTTTCTCCTCTAACTCCTGTCATGCCATTGGCATTTAACAATGTTCAGCACTTTGTATAGTTTATATTTTGTTTTTCTACTCAACATGGGAATGTGCTCTTTAAGACTGACACTTCTATTATTTACTTCTTTCCTTGCCAAAGCTTAGAAATACTAATGAATATCTATGCAGTGGATATGTGAATTTCTTGTAGAGCTATTGAAATTCGTCACTTTATTATAAAAACTCACATTTTATAGTTCATTAAAGTAAACAATCTAACAGCATTATTGCTCAAGTATTTTTTTAGGTTCTTGCTGAAAGTGAGGAGGACTTGAAATATTTGCTGCAGAAGATTAAAGACTAGGTTTCAATATAGATTGCACCTCAACATCAAGAAGACAAAAATTCTTACCACTGGGTCAATAGGTAACATCGTGTTAGGTGAAGAAAAGATTGAAACTGTCAGCAATCTTACCTTACTTGGATCTGCAGTCAGTACACTTGGTACCAGCACCCAGGAGATCAGTAAACAGGTGGCATTGGGAAAGTCTCCAAAGATCTGAGGAGCAATGATGTAAATTTAAAGACTAAGGTTCACTTAGTTCAGGTTGTGGTCTTTGCAATCACTTGATATGCATCTGAGAAGTTCTTCTTAGAGGCAAGGGTGGCAAAGCTTTGTCTCACATACTTTGGGCATGTTGTTATGAAGGGCTATTCACTGAAAAGGGACATAATGCTTAGAAGAGTTGATGGAACAATTTTTTCCTTTTTTAATTTATTATTAATTTCAATGAAAATTTACAGAGACTAGGTTTCCATTCATTCACTGTTGCACTTTTCTCCCCTCCCAAGCCTTCCCCATAGTACACTACCCTCTTGGAAAAGTAAAAGAAAAATTCTTTCATTGTTTTACAAACCCTTCCCCCCAGGTCCACTCCACTATGCAGCCTTTGCTCTGCACTCCTGTCATGGCAATAATACCTAATCACATATCCCTTTTTAAATAGTTTTCTCCCTCTTCTGTTTCAATACAGTATACATTATTGAACCCATCTTTCTCAATCTCCCCTCAACCCCAATGTCAGTCCTATTTTACAACAGTGGCACCATGCAGTATTTGTCCTTTTGTGACTGAGATACTGCACTCAGTATAATGTCCTCCAGGGTCACCCATCTTTAGTAATATGGCATGAGTTCCTTGTCTTTCAGTGCAGCATAGTATTCCATTGTGTGAATATACCACAGCTTCTCTACCCATTCATTTGTTGATGGGCACTTAGGTTGTTTCCAACTCCTTGCTATTGTGAACAAAGCCGCAATAAACATGGGTGTGCATATATCTGCTTGGATGTCAGTTATGGTCTCTTTGGGGTATATTCCTAGTAGTGGAATTGCTGGGTCAAATGGTATCTTTATTTGCAACTTTTTGAGAAAGCACCATACCGCCTTCCACAGTGGTTGCACCTGATGGAACAATTTTTGGTAACATAATAAGAGAAGATATGAAAGAGTATATTAAATTTCAGAATAGTGGTACAAATATAACTCGTAATATCTTTAAATAAAAAAGAACTATAAAGTAATTGGCAAAGACAACTCTGTAGATGACAATTGAGGTAAAGCTTAAATAGTTTATTTAAGTGGAGTATGTGGTTAGAGAAGAAATCTGAAATTAAGGGAATGGGCTTAAAGAGTTAAAGCAACCTGCATGGATGGACTTAAGAAACTGTAATTGCACCATAACAAGATAAAGGTAAATAATCCAATAGAAAAATGGGCACAGGATATGAACTTCACCAAAGAAGACATTCAGATGGCTAAAAAGCACATGAAGAAATGTTCAAAATCTCTAGCTCTAAGAGAGATGCAAATTAAAAAAACTATGAGGTATCATCTCACCCCAGTCAGAATAACAAAATTTAACAGAACAGCAAGCAACAAATGCTGACGAGGTTGTGGAGAAGCTGGAACCCTTATTCACTGTTGGTGGGGGTGTAAAATGGTGCAACCACTGTGGAAGGCAGTATGTATGGCACTTTCTCAAAAAGTTGCAAATAGAGATACCATTTGACCCAGCAATTCCACTACTGGGAATATACCCCACAGAGACCATAACTGACATCCAAGCAGATATATGCACACCCATGTTTAT